TTGATGCAAAGGGGAGTAAAAAAAACAAACAAACAACAAAAAACCCAGCTGAAGGCACACAGGAGCTGGGGAAGGGAGGAATGTCTAATATGATAATTAAATACTAATAATTCTTCCGTAAAAATTTTACTGAAGTCTGTTAGTCTTTTATGCATACATATTAAGACACAATTTCTAGGTGATGCAATGGTTTGGCTGAGTATCTGGAAGGCTGTGAGCTATTCCTTTACATGTTGTCCATTTGTGAGTAAGAAAGCAACTGCCTTGCCTTGTCTACTCTCTTACCAAAGACTTAATTCTCTCACTTCACTGTAACTCTTGGAAGGGGTCGTATTTCCTTGATATTGCAAACATTTGTATGACATACCAATCACACAGGTGCACCCTGCAGTTAAAATCACCTCTTGACTGAAGAAGGCAGACACCAATGGTAGAAGTTGCACTTTTACTGTTTCTTTAGGCCCATGAAAAGGGAAACAATCAAAGCAGCTGGACATGGCGTATGCCGTCAACAGTGCACGTTACAGGAAAGAAGTTCATTCACACAATGTCACTTCATGAGCGACATGTTATCACAACAAAGGCAAAGTTGACAACATACGCCCATTTGAGTTAGGAGGCACTGAGGACAAGACCAGTGCAAACTCCATGAAGGTCTCCTGCCTTGAGAGTTCAGCGGTGGAGCTGGCAGGAGGCAGGGGAGTGTGCTGTGAAGCAGCTGTTGTATGACCTAGAGGCTGTGGAAAGCAGATGTCCATATGGATAGAGGGAGGAAGAGAGGGTGGAAGCATAACTTCTTGTGCATTTTAAATTGCTAAAAACCATCATGTACAATATCAGCGCCTGATCATGATACCATGGCCTACAACAAACAGCCACATGCAGGACACCCTACTGCCAATCCTCTGCCTTCCCAGCCTAAAGGATTTTCCTAAGCTCATGGTGAACTTTATTCAGCAAAATGGCCCAATCCAAGCATCCTGCAGACACCACTAAGACAAAAACTTATTTAAAACACATAGGTTGATAGGTTCTGCTGCAACAGAGCAAACTGAAGACAAAGCTTTATGTCAGGCATTTTTTCCCTATGAATTGAGATTTTTTGAAAATACTGTTCAACACAAGTAAGATTTTTTTTTTACTTTATTTATGACTTAACAGCAAACATCTGTCACTGGAAAAAGACAAAACCAAAGAGAACAGTTCGATAAAGAGACACCGCTTTTAAATCTCCAGCAATGTACTCAGCAATTATAGCATGGCAAAAGAATTGATATATCATATCATGTGCAGTTGTTACTACAAAGACTTACAGGTTGCTTTAGTGGGTGCAGAATTTTTTTTATCTAGATCAGCTATTAACTGCCATCATGAACAGTAACAAAGACAAGCTTGCCATGGCATTTTAGAGTGAGCTATGATTGCTCCGAATGACAGCTTTATTAGCTTTCATGTGCTTCTGTAGGGAAGTGAAAATCAAAGCTGAAACCCCAGGCCTCTTTCTCCTTGTGAGATGCTCTAACGAGGCAAATGTAAAACTTTAATGCAGTTAGTTACTACCATTCTAAGAAATAAACTAACACCAGCATGTGTGCCACACTGACAGTATCACGCTTTCAGAACTAAACCAGAGTTGATAAGTCTGCTAATACTGCTTACTAAGCTTGGGCACGTCTTCCCAAAAAGCCAGATAAGCTTGTCAGCTCTACAAAGCCACCAAAGACCTAATGACATTCTTTGCAAGAATAGTGTTTTGCCAGAGTATCCTGGTTAGATCTTCCTCAGGCAGTTTGGTATGTACAAGGAAACACAGACCCTTCTGCTGATACTGCACTGATGCAGTAATACTGCTTTATGCAGCAAATAGGGAAGGTGACAGTAGAAGACAAAGTAGCAATGATTCATATGCGGTGGGCATTATGAGAAAGGTGTTTTCGGAAAGAATCCAAAAGATGAAAATCACCTCCAGGCAAAGGGCCAGCACAAAGCAAAGGACCTCAAAACTAGCTCAATGTGGTACTTAAGTAATTGAAGGGCTCCACGCCAGTGTTGTAGGTAAAGATGAATTTTGCCCTCAAACTAAGGAAGGAACATTTAAGAGAGCCAAATGTGAACAAAAACCCCATCAGGTCAGCAACATATGCAGCAAAGCAAAGGAGTGGCATGTTGCAAGAAGACTAGGTCAAGTCGGGAGGGAAGGACAATGATATAGACGTCAGAGTGTTTTGTTGCCTGGCAATTCAAAAGCCAACAAAGAAACTATAAAAGAGACAATGCATTGGGCATAGTGTTTTATGGAGAGCCTTTTGTACAATTGAGCCTGTTCACTTTTCTAAGGGGGGTACCTTGTAAAAGTCATAAGACCAATTAATGAGCACTTCCCACTCAAGATGGCAAAACCAGCTTTCTCAAATCAGGGTGTAACTATCCAGAAATGGACAAACCTTGAATGATTCTGCTCCTTTGAAAAGGACTAAAATGCAGTTTCCCTTTTAAAAATGTATTCTTATTATATTTGGATGTTTGAAAGACATATTGTATCAAAATGTTTTATTGAAGTATCCAAAGTTATGTATTAACTAAGCATTAGTTTGGGTTTTAAAAGTCAAAATGAGTATTTCCAATGTGGTCTTATGCTGGTGGCATATTCCGTTCTTCAGAACAGGAACGTCTGTAGCATTTACTCTTTCTCACCCTCTCCCAGTAAAGCAGCATGTGTTGCTGTGATGGAACTGCACCCGTTGGGACTGCTGCTGCATCTAGGGTCGCTCACCACACTTATCAGTCTTCCAGACTAGGTATCTTAGGGATGGTCTTAAGCAGACCTTGTTATTTGAAAGGAAGCAGATCTCTACTATAGCATTAGCTCAGCAAGACACTGCTGACTATGACATGAACTTTCTCTCCAGGCAAAACAGCTTTTTGAAGGAAAGACCTTTCTACCAAATTTTTAAGAGAATTTATTACGCTTAACTTTTTTCACTAGCTTCCTAAGGAAGCAATTAAGTGTTTCTTTACAATTATTCTATTAAGAAAACCAAGACAAATTAAAAAGCATTATCCACTTTAGTACTGTAGCGAAGCTCTGAAAGAAGTGTCTCCCTCCCGATTTTGGGGTCTGAATTTTATTTCTTGCAAACCTAGATTTCCCCCCTAAGTCTTTGTTGTTTGATGAACAGCAAAAGGCCTGTACTTTCTTTTAGTTACACAATGTTACTAGGGAGATGGTGTAAATATAAATACAATCATGATCGTAATTGTTAATTTACAAACATTTCCACGTGAAAGACCTGAGTATACAAAAGCAGCATACTGGAATAATGACAATAGCATAAAATGCTGCAAGACTCATTACAACACTGTGCAAAACTGAGTAATTAAAAATACATACACAATTACATAATGAACAAATTCTCTTTGTAAAAATTAAACATGTTGAAAGTTAAAATTACAGCAAAATTACAAAACTGATCCTTGTTAAGCAAGCAATGGTACACCTTGTTCAAACAACCATGCTATGTCAGCCAGCTCTTCTCAAACTGCAGTGATACACTGAATTGGGAGGATGACATCCTCAGCCTTTAGAAACAGCTCACAATGGCTTCTAATGAAGCATGCGTTTACTGTATTCTCCTTAGTCTTTAGAAATGCTGGTATTCAGAGTTTTTCCTAGAACAGACACTTTCTTTGTGCTGAGACAGATTTGCTTTATTAATCATAGCTATGCTTTCTAGTAGTGATTTTGTGATACTTGCTAATGGTGATTTTTGTGGTATTTGTGGTAATCTGTAATAGAGAAATTCAGAGGACAAAGCCTCCATGTCCTTGTGTATTACAGAATCCTATGAACCCATGGTCACAATCTCTACACACCCACAGGCCAAGAAACCTTTTAGGTTGTGACAATTGCTTATTAAAACTATTCTCATATTTCATACCACAGACATGGACAGAATCAAAGGCAGAAAACTGAGTAACAGATCATGACCATACAGCATGTTAATGGATAAAGTACACACAAAGTATAAGTGTTCAAGGAGGCAGGGAGAGGTTGCACGTTACATGCTGCTCTGGTCCGTTTGGAGGACTGGTGCACGCACTTCCTCTGGGTCTGACTACTGCTAAATAGCTTAGAACAGCTCTGATGTCCCCTCTCCACACAGGCACATCATCAGTCCTGCTGGCACCAAGTTGCCTGGCACCTGGACAGCCTCCAGAATTACAACCAAAAAAAGGATGAAGATTTTTTTTAATAGCTACTTTTACTTACAAAGCACCAGAAACATTTAGAACACATTTTCTCGTGTCAATTTTTTGTCCAAAACAAAGAAGATAAGATTACACGAATGCACTGAGACCACACATTCCCCTAATTTTGTCTCTCAGGATTACACAAATATGGCCCAACTTGCACAAAAGCTCTAAGAACTAGTCACTCTGGAAAAACAATTTGCACCATAAATCCATATTACCGTGTATGGCAGAGTTAATAGACCTAAGCCAGGGCGTTTAGAAGCTATCATTACCCTTCTCTGCTTAAATCACCAGAAATGCAGCATTGATGGGAAACTCCATGGAAACTTCTCTCCACAATACATCAAACAAAGAACAGGCAAAAAATAGCATTTTATAGAACACTAATGGATTTTGTTTGTTAATAAAAAAAACCTCTGCCAGAGGCATTTAAACAAGGATGATGCAGAAATTGAGATGAATAATTTGGTAAGTATTACAGCCAGCTTAATGCCTATAATGAAAAGTAATAAAGTGAACTAGGCATGTTGGTATACCAATTTATTTTTTTTCTACTCCATTAAATATTGATAAGAACTTATATTCCTTACCAATGCCAGTAGCAACTCATTTTATGAATACAAATTAAATTTTAATTTTTATTCTTTGTGAACATAAGTTTTATGCCTGTGCTTTATATTATACCTATACAAGATTTCAAACAAATCTGTGATGTACTATGAAAGCATAATAAAGTAAGTGCCTACCTTTTTCAGGAACCGTACTCCATAGGTAAATATATAAAGGTAAAATGTAAATCTCCACCTGCAAAAGGTACAACAGATTAATTCTAGGATACCAGGTTTACGCACTTTACAGATCAACACATGATTTCTTATAGCACTGCCAAACCACCACACCCTGGTCACATTAACAGAAGATGAAGCAAAATTTTCATCTGGTTTTCTACAACATTTGTTATTAAGCATTGTGCTCATCTGCCTGCTTTTCCTGGCCTCCCATTAGCCCTCTGAAAATACTGGCTAATTTCACCTAAATATGACAGGAAAAAACAAATTTTCAAGGATAATTAAGTTTTTAAAAGTTTTCATGAAAACTAGCAGGACAAAGGAGGACAGAGGACAATTTGCATGCCTATTGCAGGGAAGTTCACTTGTTATTAGACACCAGGACAATGATACTAAGAAATTTTATTAAGCTTTCAATAGGTGACTTTAGAGTGCTGCACATCAAATACAGTCTTTAGTAATGAAAAGCATCATCCGCCATGAGCTGGAATTTCGCTTAGCAGATTCCAGCATTTCAGTCTTGGTTTTAGGGAGTGCATTTGTGTCAGACAGATAGGCTGAATACAGATATATATCCAGAATTTACATCCGCTTCCAAAGAGTTTCCTTGGTAAAGATTATTCTACATTTTCCCAAGTACACATGAAATAATTGCTGAGCATCTAGTTTTTCTTTTCAGATAGAGGCAAACTAGAAGCTAGGATCAAGATGCCACAGAAAATAAGAGAGAAACCAGCTGGAGATTTAATACAAAATCATCCTCTCCTCTATATCTTTCTCCCTTCCTCAATAAAAGAAGACATACAGAATATCTTCCTATCTTTTGGACCCATTACTGGCTTAGGAAAGAAGAGTCAATGGAAGTATAAGGAAGTAAAATCAAAACCTCATGCAGTGTAAATTCTTAAGACGAATTCCTGGTTTTTTTTCCAAGGGTTGGAATGACTACACAAACGTGCTTGACATAAACACCAGTGAGGTACTATTCATAACATTTATAGCAGGATGAGATTTAGCTTCCTTACTTTGAAGCAATACTGCAGCGTGATTCATGTTCAATTACATATTTTACAGCACTTACAACTTCCTCTCCACTGGCAAAACTATTAGCTTACAGTTAATTGGCATTGAAGTGTGTTCAGACGTTACTGGAATGGTTTCAAAACTGAAAATCGTCCTACGTAAAAGAAGGTTAATCCAAACCTTTCTCTTCAAAGCTACTTTTACAAGTATTTAGAAAGTCAGTTGTGTCATACATATATAACCCTCTGACGAGTTGAGTACAGAAGAGTGTAAGAACATCAATGAGATTTAAAGTGTGATACTTCAGCTGAACAGAAACTTTCTTCTCCTGTAGTCTGCATAGCACTGCAGAGATTAATTTATTTAATTGATATGATACAAATATCAATCCCTTCAAGGTTTCAGTCACACTAGCAACATGGCTCACAGCTTTTGTGTCAGCAGTTTCCTCAAGATACTGCAAAAATAGAGTACTTGGAGGAAAAACGTTAGTTGTGCCGGTAGAAACCTTCAGATCATGCACATGGAAGAAACAGCAAGGACTGCAATATGAAGGAAGGTTTTATCTGGGTAACAATTTTCTCATTAGGCTGGTCCTACGGCTAGGAAACCTGCCATGTAACTTCAAGGTTACATATCTCATTAGTGAAAGTTTGAAGGTTGTCCCTGAAAATAAAAATATTAGGAGGGAAAAACTGTCTAACAATCTCACTGCTGAGCACTCCCAGTGCCCTTCTTTTGCTCCTAAGTGTGAGCATTTATGATAAATTCCTCACAAAGTTTTCTTGTTTTAAAAACGAAACCCATCATTCACAATGTACAGTATATACTTCTTTATCCCTCTATTTGGGTCTCACTGCAGCCCCCTGATGAAGAGATGCAAGTGGAGGGAAACAGTTACGAGCAGGAATCACATCCACTCGCAGTATAGTCCAGTGTCCAAAGCACCTTAGAATTTTGGGAACTTAGGCAAAATGTTCTTTCTCTCTGCAGAGGACATCATAGAAGAGAAGAACATCTTTCTTAAGTGTGAGGTTATCAAGTCTCATTCCCAACTGAATTCACAAAGTGGTAGCTGATTAAGAAAGGCCTTTAATTTGTCCTAGGTAATAGTCCCAACTCTCATGGTTGGAAAAAGCCCTTAGCCTGAGCACTGTACTGACCCAAGGGAAGGGAAGATGTCTGGCTAGTGGCATAAACCCTCCCTAGTACCCTTTCTGATATCCTGTTCAAGGTCCTCCTTAAGCATCAGCAGCTTATGCTGAACATCACCAGGTCACTGGGGACAGTTGTTGTTGGGGTCACAGCTGGTTGTCTGCACCAGGGAAAGTAAAAACTCTTCTAGCTAGCAGCAGTAGCAGAGCCCAACAGACTAAGAAAAGCAAGGCAAGATCTGTACTAAGGTTTCTTTTGTTCCCCTTTCCCCCCCAGCAATACTTGCTGCCCTATTAAAGCAATACAATGGAGGCCACTAGGTGAAGCACTCCATTGTGGGCAACTGCCACATCAATTCACATTTAACTGAAAGATGATGACAGATGAAGCTGCTCTGCTTTGTGAGAATTTGCTCTGGCCCTTAGACTTGAAACATTCCTCCAGTTAGTTGTATAGAAACACAAAATTTGAATGACCCACATACACACAAAGCCTGCTGCTTGAAAGACTTTTTAGGTTAATTTAAATCCAGCAAACCCAGATGTCTGCTCGCAATAGGGTTTATGAGGTTCACTTTAGTCCTGCACTAACACGCCTACAAGACCTCCAGATTGAACCAGGCTTGTGTGTGGTCTGCTCGAGCTCAGAATGAGGGATGTCAGACCTGTTTACATATGGCCCTTCTGGCAAATCCTTTAGCTTGTGCTCGTGCTTACCAGGCCAGTGTTCCAAATACAGAAATGACACACTGCAGTGAAGAGTCAAGCTAAAAAGTGACTCTTCAGTAACAAAAAAAGGAATTATTTTCTAATGTAGTCTTAAAATGAATACTCTAGAGCCCCTCAAGAGTTCAGCAACAGATCTGACTGCTCTTGTTCAACAAGCAAGTGTATTCCTGACCCAGAGGAGAGACAGTTTCTTAAGCTCTCAACCCTTTTAACTCTGAGTTGCTAAGGAAATTTGAAAGATGCTTCAGCATGATACAGAACACTAAGAAGATGGAAAAGTTGGAGAGCCTCTGCCAACTAATCTGGTGTACCCCACCGTGTGTCAGAAAGATGCCATCCTCCCCACAGACCTGCTGTCCAGCAGAGCAAGCTCGACGTGGCTGCTCTCCCAGGAAAAGGGCCACTTCTCCCAAGAATAAGGCTGAAGAGGCACAAGGCCTCTCTGCTCCTGCAGTTTTCCCTTTCTTCTATTTCTTCTGCAGGAAGACCGGCCAGCCGGGCTGTGAACACAGGCACTCCCGCAGAGCCCCCAGCTTAGCAGCACACCCCCGGCAGCGCACAGCCCTCCCCACTGTAAGCGCACACCCCTTACGGCTCCGATGTCAAACCAGTGCCTGCTGCCCAGCAATGGCAGGCAAGGATCCAAAGTTATCCAACTGACTTTTGACAAGCAAACATGAAACATAATAAACGCACAAAGTTAAAAATGTAACAGCTATTTTGCTTCCAGAATTGTAGCTGTTATTTACAGAGATGCTTTTGCCACTGATTTGCTACAGTCAGGGCCACAAACAGCAATGTAAGAATGCCACACTTCGAAACAGTTGACATTAAACTCCCCCTCATATTTAGCAACTAGCCATAAGCTCACCACATTGCCTGCAAAGAAACTGGCTTTCCGGCTCTGAAAACTATTTTCAGAGAAACTGCAGTCTCCTGAAGTTTTTCCTATGGAAATTCACTTCAGAAGAATTTCAGATTTGGTGTTCCCAGTCACCCTCTGGTCAACTCCTGGCAGCAGCTGACAGACTTCTAGGCTCGGGCTTTGGGCTGAAAGCTAAACCGAGCCTAACGCAAACTCCACAGATGCAGGCCTTGGTTCTAGAGACGAGAAGGCTTGAACTGCCATCATGCAGCTTGTTCTCCATTTTAATCCCCACCATCTGACTGAACTGGGCAAGCACATAGCTAAGCTACTGCAATTGTTAGCTGAGGCTGAAAACTATTTTTGCTGCAATGATTTCCTGTGGCTGTGAAGAGTATGTTCACTGTGAGAGTGCTCAAAGGAGCATTTCTGAGGCCAAGTTTAAACAATACTGAATGTTTAATTCTTTTCAATGGGAAGCATTGCTAAGTTCCCCACATGCCCACTGTGACTTAAAGCAGTCCATGTTTTATCCTCACACTGCATTTTTCTGCTCCCCAAACACAGTATCAGAGCCTTCACCTTTGATTCACTCAAGGCAACTTAATCCAATTAATGCTGTTCCTGACATAGCCAGAGGTATGCATTCCTCCTAGATGGTTATGTCTAAGGAGAGATCCCAAACCAATGGACTCTGAACATTTGGATCAACTTAGTATTTGTGACATTGTCTACCAACCTATTATAGCTCCCATTTTAGGGCAAAGACAAAAACAAACACCAAGAAACAAACAGCAGCTCTTGTCCCCTAAACCAACAAAAAATCCCCACAAAGATAGTAAAAATACAAGACAGAGCACAGAAAAATAACACTTAATCCATCCAAAGCCTGGGAGGACTACTAGCACCTCAAACATTTAATGGTCTCACAAATTCAAACTTAAGACCTTTTGTATTGTACCACAAGTGTTGATCTTACAGTATTAAGACTTCAATCTTACAGTTGTTAAGTTGCACAAAACTGTGCTTTTATATCAGGCACATGATAATTCAGGTGTTACTGTGTTTCACTCTGAGCAATCTTTTTAGATGGTTTGCCTTCCCTGATCAAAGCCCTAACACACATTGGCAGTGAGCAATGCTATCTCACAGGATTGTTAGGGAATCGTGGTGGATGACTATTAATACTTCACAGCCTGTGTCACTATCTAGAAGAGTAAAGCAACAAATTGCCACCTTCTTTTG